ATAGGCGGCAAGTTGGTGAACAATAAGATCATACCCTTTCACTGTAACAGTCAGTCTTCTCTCTACTGTTCCCTTAAGAAAATACCTCGAGGGCCAGAGATTTAGCTCAGTGGTTCTGCCACCTGCCTCGCAAGCGCAAGGACCCAAGTTTGATCCCAGCACAAAAAAAAAAAAAAAAAAAAGAAGAAAGAGAAGAAAAACCTCAGGCGGACATTGGCACCAATGTAAGATTCATATGGCGTTTCAACTTGCATAAATTCAAAACCATAACTTCTGCTCTGAGTCAGTTCTCCAGGTAAGGCTAGTTCTTTCAGCAGGTTTACAAATTCATGAGTATTACTCGTCATTGAATAGTTCAATTTGACCTACAAATCCAATTCTAATTCCTTGGTGCTCTAGTCTCTTTCCAGGTTGCTTAAAGGCAAGGTTTACCTTTCCTGAAAAACAGATTCTCCATCATAGAAGAGATAGTGTTTTTCTACTTTGCCGTCTTCAGTCTTCATCTCTGCCATCTTCCTCAGTTTCCCATCATGAAGGACAACGCTAATCTCACAAATGGGACCAAAAAATCTCCAAGAAAACTCATTGTCTGCGCCGCTGCTGGCGTGCCCCCCCACCTCTTCCTTCAGAAAAACTCCCGATCCAGCTCCCTCAACCCTGGCACCATGACAACTCATAATTATTGCTGGAGACATCCACACACTTCTCTCAGTAGTAGACTGATATGACTACATACAAAATATCCGTAAGGATACAGAAAAAATAAGTATTAGCCAGGGATTTAGCTCAGTGGTTCCACTGCCTGCCTCGCAAGTGCAAGGTCTCGAATTCGAACCCTTCCCCCAAATATCAACTAATTCTAACATTTATAAAAAAGTACCTAACAACAGCAGATATTATTTTCGTTGTACATGGGCTATTCACAGTTAGACCATATCCTAGGTCAGTGACAGAGATCACCTTTTAGAGCTTTCAATAACAGCAGGCTGTGGCACACAGACCACAGGTGTGTCAGCACAGTCCTACATCATTTAAAAATTAATAAATTAAAAAGAACTGAAACCATTAAAAATATGTTCTCTGACTATAATTAAATTAGAAATGAACAGGACAAAGGTAACAGGAAAAAACCTCACAACACTTGGAAAATCAACATGTTTTTAAATAGACCATAGGCTAAAGCATATCAGAACATTTCGTTTCTGCTCATTTTAAATACCAAAATTTGTTGCCTCACAAGCTCAAGGTCCCAAGTTCGATCCCTAGTACTCCCCCTCAAAAAATAAAAATTTATGGGGTATAAAGTAGTGGTTAGAAGAAATTTTATAAAACTAAATGTTTATCTTAGAAAAATCTCAAATCATGGATCTAAGATCATACTATAAAAAACCAGGAAGAGGACAGTAACTGATCCATATTTCAATAACTGCTCTAATAAGTCCTTATTCTTAGACTTAGCTAGTCAAGTAGCAGACAAGGACACTCAGGCTGCACAAAGACTCACTCGAGATAAGAATCTTTTGGAATCCTTAGGAAGCCAAAAGGCTAAAAATAACTATGAAGAGAAATACAGAAGGAGGGGATAAAAAGGGAAGGGGCAGAGACAACAGGTGTGGAATGAAATAGATTGCTGGGGATAGACTGTGAACCCCAGGTCCCAGGCCATGGGAGATGGGGGGAGGGACTCTTGCAAGTTACGAATAAAAACACAAGAGTGTCTCAACTGCCAGTGCCTGTCTCTATATAGGCATCATTCTTGCAAAAGTTTAGATTAAAAAGCCCCTCTTTCACTGCCTCTGGAGTACAGTTTGGTTTTTGCTTTTGTTTTTATTTTGGTCTGGACAAGTGAGATTATTTCTTACATAAACAAACCCCAAACCAACAGTAAAAAATAAAGACCAGAAAATAAACTGAAAATAGAAAGACAGGACCAGGGAATTAGCTCAGTGCCGTCACCACCTGCCTCACAAGCACAAGGTCCTGAGTTTGATCCCTGGTACAGAAAAGAGAAAAGAAAGACAACAGAAAAAAGGAAATCAAACCACAAGCAGGTTAAACAAACAAACAAACAAACAAACAAAAAAACTGACAAATCTCTATAACATCTGACAAAGAAAAGACAAAAACACAACTACCAACCATCAGAGTGAAATATGAATACCATTTCAAATCACAGATTAAAAGATAATAGAAGGCTTTAAGTAATTTCATGCCCAGAAATTTGACAATTTAATGAAACAATTTCTTGAAGTGGTTTGTACTAGCCACAAACTACTAAAACCAAAGAAATAGATAAATAGTACTATATCTAGTAAAGAAACAAAATTCAAAAGTTTAAAATATTCTGAAAAGGAAAAAGTCAGGCCATATTTTATTCATTTAAAAAATAACTCCATCTGGGCATGGTGGCGCACACCTGCAATCCCAGCACTTGGGAGGCTGAGGCAGGAGGATCGCTGTGAGTTCAAGACCAGCCTGGACTACACAGTGAGTTCCAGGTCAGTCTCAACTACACAGTGAGACCCTGTCTCAAGAAAAATTAAAAAAATTTTTTTAAATAACTCTAGAGAGCCAGGGATTTAGCTCAGTGGTTCTACTGCCTGCCTTGTAAAAGTAAGGTTTGAGTTCAATCCTTGGTACCAAAAACAAAACAAAACAAACCTCTAGACAACCAAACCTTTCTGGATTTTGTGAGATCACTGCAAAACCAAATGGATAGAAGTGAAAGGCAGGGGCATTCATTTGAAGAGAAAAACACCAACTTCTGGAAACTGGACACTTGCACTTTAAAGGAACACCTGTCCAGGGCCCAAACAAGATTAGGCCAAAACTATGCTTAAGGTCAGAATCACAAAAGGTATTATTTTTGGAGGGTTAACTAAGGAGGGAAAATAAGAACTATCAGAGGGGTAGACAATAGTATTTTGATGCCAGAAAGAAAAAAAAAATCATCTCCTTTAACAATTCCTGACCTAGTACTATCCTGTACTCCTGCATATTTAGGGACTGAAAAATCCAAATACAAATATAGTTTATTTTAAATTATATTTTTAATTTTAAACTATATTTTAAAAATAGAATATCAGTAGGGTAGTGAAATAGGTCCCAGGTACAGGGCAAAAGCAAATGTAAACACACTTAAAATACCCTCATTTAAATAGCACAAAGAATACCACCACAAAAAATTTTACAAAACAGTGGTTGATGAAACTTAGTCAAGAGCAAGGTGGTAAACGTCACAAAACATGTTCAGAGACAAAAATCAGTGAAATCACACACCACACCAAGAGTGTGATCTGAAAAAATAAGGAAACAGAATCAGAACCACAAAACTATAGCTAGCATACTAGATACTGAATATATGTTTAATAAATTTAAGGAAATAAAAGATGGAATCAAGGCCAGGGATTTAGCTCAGTGGTGCTGTGCCTGCCTGATAAGCACAAGGTCCTAATTTCAATTTCCAGTACTGGAAAAAAATAAAATAAAATCAAAGGTGAGATGATGGGTAAAAGAAATAAGAAACTATGAAAAATGATCAAGCTAATTTAAAGAAAGGAAAAAAATTAAATTGAGAAACTATGATAAAAATAATTTGTTTAGGGCTGGGGAATTTAGCTCAGTGGTCTGGCACCTGCCTCAAAACCACAGGACCTGAGTTCGATTTCCCGTACCAAGAAAAAATTATCAGAGTTCTCAAAAATAACATGTTAAACTTGGTTCAATAGTAAAGTAGACTGTGCTTAGAAAGAATCAATGAGCTAAAAGGTAGATCTGAAGAAATCAGCTAACCATTTGAGAAACAAAAGATGAAACACACACACACATGCACATACACTCACAAAGAACAGATAAGATAAAAGAGGAGAAAAACATGGAAGCTGTTCAAGAAGAAGGCTATAAATAAGGGATAAGAGTGTGTAATTTTTAAACTGACAAGAGAGGAAAGAGAGAACCAAAGAGAGAAACTGTTGTCAAAAGGTCTGAATTATAATTCTAGCTCATTATTTACTGTACAACCTGAGTTATAACTCTAGGACATCACTTAATACACATTATTTAACCTAAGTCACAGTTTTCTCATATGTAAACAGAATAATGCAGACCTCCTGCAAGTGTTGACTATTACACAAAATCCAAACATACATATAAGAGAACACAATAAATACCACCTACTGGCAGCACCTACTGCCAATCAAAAAAAAAAAATTCCAGGGTGTTACTGGGGATCGAACTCAGGACCTTGCACTTGGCAAAGCAGGTGCAGCACCATTGAGCTAAATCCCTGGCCCCAATTAAAAAATAATTTAAAAAATTTATGGCCAAAATACGTAAAATAAAACAGTATTTGTTTTGGTACCGGGGATCGAACTCAGGCCCTTGCAGTTGCAAGGCAGGCAGCGGAACCACTGAGCCAAATCCCTGGCCCAAAACAGTATTTTTTTAAAATGAGGTGCTACGATGCCCAGGCTCGCCTCCAACTTGTGATCCTTTTGCCCTCAGCCTCCTGAATAGCTGGGATTAGAAGCATTCACCTCCGTGCCCCACAAAAATCAAGGTTAAGACCCCCCCCCCAAAAAAAAAAAAAAAAACAAAAAACCTACCCAGACAATGACTTAATTTCCAAGTTTGTGGAAAGGAAAAACAGTTTATCTGACCTTTCACATCTGTCAGTTCTGCAGGCACAATTCTTAAGAGTAGATATAGTCACTCTAGATATCCCTCTGGTTCACTTTCCATCCACTCTTCCCAAATTTGTAGGCACTCAGGGGAGAAAAGATACTATTCTAATTCTCTCATCTTAAATTCTGCTTTTTAAAAAAGAGAAAGAGGGCTGGGGATTTGGCTCAGTGCTTCTGCCACCTGCCTCAAAAGCACAAGGGCCCAAGTTCAATCCCCAGCACCAGAAAAATATAAATAAATAAATAAATAAATAAATAAATAAATAAATAAATAAATAAATAAAAAGAAAGAAAGAAACAAGAAAACCCACAACTTACTTTTCATTAGTTTTCCTGATAATTCTTTCAGTGGAGAAGAGGGAATGTTTCTACTGGCTATTGTAAGTCTGGAGGAAGATTCTTGAGTTTCCACGGAAACCAGATGAGTTCCTGCTCTAGCCATTTCAAGATGGAAAGAATAGGTTCTGTCACATTCTTGGGAAAGCAGCAAGTGATTCTGACTGCTGTTAGTTCTATTATTCAGGTCAATTCCTTCTGACTGAGTCATAAGCAATTGGGCTGCACAAGAATCTTCCAATCTCTTGTCAAGGGACTCAGTTATAAAAGATGCTGCAGTTTCGTGCTTTTTAGATGGAGAGACAGGCTCAGCCAGTGAGCTCTGCTTCACTGTATTCAGACTGTGTGCTCTTATTCGAGACCAAGTGGTAGAGTGAAAACTCTCAGCCTCTAACCAAAATTTAACCAAATGTTCCATTCTCCGAAGTTCCATGAACTGAATGAAGTATGGGAGGACAACAGTGTCGTGCAAGACTTGTTCGAGAGTTTTTGAAAGACTTGATTTGGTCTCTTGAGTCTGGTAGTCCAGACAAGATCTGCCTAAAAGAAGCAAAAGAATCAACAATTTAGTCACAAGTAATTTCAGATTGAAAAGGAAGTCAATCACCTTTAGCAATAATGGTAACAGAGGTTTGGAATAAAGTTTATTTCTAGGCAATGAGAATGAGTAAAGAACTGGAAGTACTATAATTTTAGTTTCTAAGTAAAGAAACAACTGCCCAAAACTTATTTAAATTACTAAAAAGTACTTTATCACTCAATCCTTATATCTCTCTAGTGGCAATTCAGACCATGTAATATCTTACAAGAAAAAAATCTTGTGATACTATTCCCAAAGAAAAATGGCCATTACAAATATGAAAAAGTATTCAACCTCATTAAAAACCTCAGAAGAGGACTAGGGATTTAGCTCAGTGGTACTGCCACCTGCCTCACAAGCGCAAAGTCCTGAGTTTGATCCCTGGTACAAAAAAACCCCCAAAAAACAAAAAAACAGAAGAGGCAAGGACTGGTGGCACACACTTATAATCTCAGCACTCAGGAGAGGCTGAGGCAGGAGGATCACCTCAAATTCAAGGCCAGCCTGGACTATATAGCAAGATAGTGTCTCAAAAATCTAAATTAAAAAATAAATACAGATGAGAAGGGAAAATTAATACACGATAACATTTTTATCTATCAAACTGAACGATGATTTAAAAAAAAAAATAAACACAGGTATAGAGGCAACACCCACACACTGGTGATGAAATATAAACTGACAAAATCTTTACAGAGGAGCATTCAGGTACATCCTTACCAAACTGTATACTTGTGGGCACTTATCCTGGAGAAAAACTGTTGATGTATGGATATAAGTATATAAAGATATTATGAAGTCTCAGCATTATTTATAACAAAATGCAGAGTAGCTTTGGGATTTTATTTTATTTTGGTACCAGGGATTGAACTCAGGACCTTGTGCTTGAGAGGCAGGCATAGAAACCACTGAGCCAAACCCTTGGCCCTGAGATTTTATCTTAAAAAATAAAACTAAACTTAACAAAAGATACATTTTAGCTAAATTTAGGTTATTATAACCACAAGCTAACTATCAGAACAAAAAAGCTTAAAAAAATTTTTGGCCTTGATAGCATGTCATAAAATGTGTCACTTTGATAAAATTAACTAGGGTTTCAAAGATTTTCCCAAAAGGATTTCCTTAATTCTTTAATATCAGATCAACTTTTTTTTTTGGTACTGGGGATGGAACTCAGGACCTTGTGCTTGCGAGGCAGGTAGTGGAACCACTGAGCTAAATCCTTGGCCCTCAGATCAACTTTTTTGAAGCAACTTATATGCCATCATCTTCAGTAACTGTCCTATTGTCAAATGATATTGTCCATCTTTGACATTACTTCATGAATTTGAGGAAATCCTAGTTTTGCCAAGACTTACAAGTTATTTTAACTAGAGATCATTTAATTATAGATTTACATGTAGTCATAAGAAATAATACAGAAAGTTCATTTGGAGGGCTAGCAGTATAGCTCCATGGCAGAACACATGACTAACGTGTGATGTTCCAGAGTCCAGCCCCAGCACTACAAAAAAAAAAAGAAAAAGAGAAAAAGATCCTTTGAACTCTTTAGCTTTCCACATGGTAACACCTTGCAAAACTATAGAACAATATTATACCAAGATATTAACATTGATACATGCCATTACTTTTACTGGATTTCCTCAATTTTACTTCATTTATGTATATGTTTAGTTCTATGTAATGTTATCATGTATATATACCTATATCTACTGTCAAGTTATAAAAGTTTCAATACCAAAAAGAGGCCCTCACATTGCCTCCTTCATAAATACACGCACCTATCCCTCTCACTTCTGGCAAATACTAATCTGTTCTGTATTCTCTAATCACAGAATCATGCTACACTATAGGGAATGACTTCTGCCTCAGAATAAAGTCTTCGAGATTACTCTTTTTACTCCTAAGGAGTATTCTAGGATAGGAATGGACTAGTTCACTCACCTGCTGAAGGAAATTCATTTTTTACTAGTAAGCTGACACAAACATTCATTCATGTACAAGTTTTTGTGTGAATATACTTTCATTTCTCTGAGATAAATATTTAAAAGTGCAATAAATGAGTCATATGATAACTTCATGTTCAGCTTTGTAAGAAGCCTCAATACTATTTTCCAAAGTGGCTATATCATTTTACATTCCTACCAGGAAAATATCCAGCAAAAATTACTTTTTTGTGATGAATAAGCACTTTGCAATGTATTGCTGTGCATGACCCACAAAGACTGACATTCTCCCTGGCTTTGACGATTCATAAATGTTAAGCAGAGCAATGTCAAAAGCGGGAGAAATTTAATAATAGAAGCAATTCATTCATGGATTTTCTTTTTTTCAATTAATGACAATGTGACCTGCAATTTGTTGCCGTTGTTGTTGTTGTTTTTGTTTTGTAGTACTGGGGATTGAATTTAGGAACTTCCTATTGAGCTGAGCTGCCCAGGCTGGGCTCAAACTTCAAATCCTTCTGCCTCAGCCTTCCACAGTGCTGGAATTATTGGCGTGCAACACCATGCCTGGCCATGCAATCTTTTTTTTTTCCTCCCAGAGAGCTGGAATTATAGGCATACACCACCACACCCAGCTTTTTAGGTGAAGAAATTTGAGTAATAGATACTCAAAGATCTTCTGCCTATCTCTTTGTGGAGGAGGTGTTATTTTAACATAACACAGATTTTCACCATACATGATATACTCAACTACTCTTTTCACTTTTTTTTTTTGTACTGGGGAATCGAACTTAGGACCTTGCGGTGCCTGCAAGGTAGGTGGCGGAATCACTGAGCTAAATCACTGGCCCTATTTTCACTTTTGCATGGCTATTTTATTTATTTAATTTGGTTTTTTGAGACACAGTTTCACTATGTTGGTTTAGGCTGATCTTGAACTCATTATGTATCCTAAGCTGGCCTCGAACTCTCAGTTCAGCCTCCTGCCTAAGCCTCTAAAGTACTGGGATTGCAGACATGCACACCCCCAGCTCTTCAAATGTCTTTTTCAGACTTTCAAACAATTACACCGTATTCTACAGTATGGGTACATCATGGTTTGACTATTTCTCTATTAACATGTATTTATATAGTTTCTCATTTTTTGATAGCACAGAAAATACTATAAATTGTCTCATACACACATACATACATCTTTGTGCTTATGTATGAGCATATCTGAGGGCTAAACCTTGGAAAGAGACGTGTTCAAATGGCACACACATGTGCACACAAATATACACACCTGCACATATATATTGTTTGTAGTATTGAGGATTAAACCCAAGGGCATCATATACTAGGAAAGTACTTTACCCCTAAGCTATACCCTACACCTTTTTTATTCTTACTCTATTCTGAGACAGGGTCTTGCTAAATTCCCCAAGCTGGCCTCAATCTTGCAATTCTCCTACTTTGGCCTTGTGAGTAGCTGGAATTACAGACCTGTGCCAACACTCCCGGCTACAGCTTATATTTCAATAAATATTTTCAAACTGACTCCTCTCTAAAAAGTCTTCACCAATTTATATCAACATCAAATGGGAATGGCCATTTCCTTGCATCTCTATGAATATCCAATTCACCAAATTTAAATATATGCTAATGTGTTTTAACTGTTTTAATTTTCATTTCCATATTACTGAAGTGAAGCATCTTTTCCTTCCTTTTTTTTTTTTTTGGTATGGGGGATCGAACTCAGGTCCTTGTGCTTGCGAGGCAGGTGGTAAAACCACTGAGCTAAATCTCCAGCCCTTTTTCATATATTTTTAATTAGTGGACAAATGTATTTCTTCTCCTGGAAACTGCTCATTTTTCTCCTGGCCATGCTATATATTTTATATTTATAGAACATAATATAGTAGCATCCATCACACTTGTTGCTGTTATTTTAGCTTAAGTATATTTTTTCAAGTCCCTTCCAACAATATAGGTCAGTTTCCTGTAACAGGAGTTCCACATTATTGTACTTCTCTCTTTCCTCTACGAGAAGTTAACAAAAAAATCACTTACCCAGGTCCCCAAAGTGAGCAGCCTCCATGTGGCTTGGTTGTTTCTTAAGTGTTGCTGTCCTGCTGCTTGAAAAGGAGTCCATGTTGGCAGAAATGGCATTGATTGCAACATGACTTGGTCCTGCAGCCTCCAGCAAGGCATGATTTTTAGTACTTTTTTGTGGGGAATATACGGCTATTGAAGCTATAATTTTTCAAACAAAATGTTAAACGTAAAGTTTAGCATAACTTGGTAGTCTAGAACTCTAAGGGTTTGAAGAAAACTTTAAAAATTAAACTTTGTAATAATTTGCTTAATCAGCACACAACAAAAAACTCAGATGAAAGGTAACTCAAACAGCAGAAAGTTAGAAGTAAAACACTCTAATATTTATAAATAAAAATAGTGTACCAAAAATGAAACGAGATCTTTTGAAAACTTTGTCTATAACACATAGAAAGTACCAAAGCCTTCTGAAATATGGACCCATTTGAATTCCTTAAAACTTAATTGCTTTAAGAACAAAATTAAAATTGCAAAATCCTTAGGAGGAAAAAAAAAAAACCCCTTAGAAAGATATTCTTCAGGATTCTTTTTTTTTTTTTTTGACACTGGGGATCAAACTCAGGACCTTGCACTTGCAAAGCAGGTGGTAGAACCACTGAGCTAAATCCCCGGCCCTAGGAAACTTATTTTTTGAGTAACAAAATTTCTCCATCTAATAAAATACACGGATGATCAAAGTTCAAGCTGCCTAAAGAAAAGGCACATGAAAATATACAATATACAGATTAAAGATATACCTCAATAGTGTGTTTGCCTTACAATGGTCAGATAAATTCTGGGTTTTATTCCCTGCGTCACC